GAATCCTGTGGTAGAGTGAGAGATGTGTTAGATCAAATGACAAAAACTGGAGTATGGAAGGTGGATTAGATAAAAGTATTACATCAGAGTGAATGTAGGAGTTGATAATGTACTGTGGTTATATAAGAGAATATCGTGACCAGGCGCGGTGGCTCATGCCTATAATCCCAGCACTTTGGGAGGCTGAGACGGGGGATCACCTGAGGTCAGGAGTTCGAGACCAGCCTGACCAACATGGTGAAACCTCATCTCTACTAAAAATACAAAAAATAGCCAAGCATGGTGGCACATGCCTGTAATCTTAGCTACTCAACTTCCCAAGTAGCTGGGACTATAGGCATGTGCCACCATGCCCAGCTAATTTTTGTATTTTTAGTAGAGACAGGGTTTCACCGTGTTGGCCAGGATAGTCTCAATCTCTTGACCTCATGATCTGCCCGCCTTGTCCTCCCAAAGTGCTGGGATTACAGGCCTGTGCCACCATGCCTGGCCTACATTGTTTTTTAAATAAATTAAAACTAGCTATCAGGCTGGGCGTGGTGGCTCGTGCCTGTAATCCCAGCACTTTGGGAGGCTGAGGTGGGTGAATTGCTTGAGCCCAGGTCTTCGAGACCAGTCTGGGCAATATGGCAAAACCAGGTTTCTCCAAAAAACACAAAACAAAAAAATTAGCCCGGGGTTGTGGCTCACACCTGTAGTTCCAGCTACTTTGAGAGGCTGAGGTGGGAGGACCCCTTGGGTCCAGGAGGTTAAGGTTGCAGTGAGCTATCATCTTGTCTAAAAAACCAAAAATAAAAACTAGCTATTATTTATTGAGTCCAATATGTAGCAAACATGAACTAAACACGTTGGGTATTTTATCTTCTTTCTTTCTTTTTCGTTTTTATTTTTTTGAGACAGAGTCCCACTCTGTCGCCAGGCTGGAGTGCAGTGGCGTGATCTCGGCTCACTGCAACCTCTGACTCCCTGGTTCAAGTGATTCTCCTGCCTCAGCCTCCTGAGTAGCTGGGATTACAGGCACGCACCGCCACGCCCAGCTAATTTTTGTATTTTTAGTAGAGATGGGTTTTCACATGTCGGCCAGGATGGTCTCAATCTCCTGACCTCGTCATCAGCCCACCTCAGACTCCCAAAGTTCTGGGATTACAGGTGTGAGCCACCGCACCCAGCTATTTATTTCTTACAATAAGGCTTCAGTGTAGATATCACTATCCTCACTTAAATAAGAAAAATTGATGCTCAGAAAGTTTAAATAAAGTAAGTACCCTAAAGTTACATCTAATAAAAGTTATACCATATTTTTATTATTTATTTATTTATTTATTGAGACAGAACTTTTTGCTCTGTTGCCCAGGCTGGAGTGCAGTGGTGCGATCTCGGCTCACTGCAACCTCTGACTCCTGGGTTTAAGCGATTCTCCTACCTCAGCCTCCCAAATACCTGGGACTATAAGTGCTCACCACCACGCTAGGCTAATTTTTGTGTTTTTAGTAGAGACGGAGTTTCACCATATTGGCCAGGCTGGTCTCAAACTCCTGACCTTGTGAGTAGCTGGTGAGCTACTCGAGTTCCACCATGTCCCGCTAATTTTTTGTATTTTTAGTGGAGACAGGGGTTCACCATGTTGGCCAGGCTGGTCTCGAACTCCTGGCCTCAAGTGATCCACCCGCCTTGGCTTCCCAAAGTATTGGGATTACAGGCGTGAGCCACTGCGCCCAGCCCATATTTTTAAAATGAATAGAAAATAAATAAAAAGTCCACTAGTCTTGGGAAAGAAGTGACAGAATTAGGTCTTGGCATGTTGTAAAGTGACTCTCACTTGGAACCTCTGTCCCCTAAGTGCCCAGCACTCTCCTCCTTTCTCTTGGAAGTACATGATTTCTTTAACAATCACCCCATAATCACCCGCACTTTTCTGACATTTATTTTATTTCTAATCTCATAGCTACATATTTGTATGCATCGGTATTGGTTCCTTAGTATAAATTGCTAGAAGAAAAACATTTAGTCAAAGAGTGTTTTTAGGCTGTTGATACATGTTTCAAGGTTGCCCTCCTGGAACATTGTAACAATGCACACTCCCATTGGACAGCATGAGAGGGCATCAATTTTCTCAGGCCCTAAAGTCCTGGTTTTTTTGTTTGTTTGTTTTTTGGGTGTTTTTTGAGACAGAGTTTCACTCTTGTTGCCCAGGCTGGAGTGCAATGGCACCATCTCAGCTCACTGCAACCTCTGCCTCCCAGGTTCAAGCAATTCTTCTGCCTCAGCCTACCAAGTAGCTGGGATTACAGGCACGGCGCCACCATGCTCGGCTGATTTTTTGTGTTTTTAGTAGAGATGGGGTTTCATCATGCTGGCCAGGCGGGTCTCAAATGCCTGATCTCAGGTGATCCACCCGCCTCAGCCTTCCAAAGTGCTGGGATTACAAGCGTGAGCCACTGCGCCTGGCCATCCTAAAGTCTTAAAGACTTCGTGTCTTGTCAGACTGATGGTAGGATTTTATGACAGTTTCTTTCAACACCCTCAAAGTCTTTTGAGCAATGCATTCTCAAAAAGCATTTCCCATTCAGTACAGACCTTATACCTTTGCTCAGTATTCCAGATCTTGGCAATTTGACTCTGTTTATGAAATTGCTTGATGTACTAATTAAATTGTAATAAAATATAATTAATGCGAACAAAATGAAATTATTCGGAAAGTAGCCTTCAGTTCCTTTTTTATTTTTTTTTTTCCGAGACGAAGTCTGGCTCTGTCGCCCAGACTAGGGTGCAATGGTGTGATGTTGGTTCACTGCAAACTCTGCCTCCCAGGTTCAAGTGATTCTCCTACCTCAGCCTCCTGATTAGCTGGGATTATAGGTGTGCACCACTACACCCAGCTAATTTTTGTATTTTTGTAGAGATGGGTTTTCACCATGTTGGCCAGGCTGGTCTCGAACTCCCGGCCTCAAGTGATCTGCCTGCTTTGGCCTCCCAAAGTGCTAGGATTACAGGCATGAGTCACTGAGCCCAGCCCCTTTTGGGTATTTTGAAGTTTGTCTTTGATTTCTTTAAACATGATAATCATAGCATCATGGATTCCCTACAGCAAGCAAGAATGTCGAGGTGGCAGGATCACTTGAGCCCAGGAGTTTGAGACCAGCCTGGGCAACATTTCGAGACCTCACCTCAAAAAAAAAAAAAAAAAAAAAAAAAAATTAGCCAGGCATGGTAGCGGCTACCATGTTGCAATGGCAACAAAAGCCAAAATTGACAAATGGGATCTAATTAAACTAAAGAGCTTCTGTACAGCAAAAGAAACTACTATCAGAGTGAACAGGCAACCTACAGAATGGGAGAAAATTTTTGCAATCTACCCATCTGACGAAGGGCTAATATCCAGAATCTACAAAGAACTCAAACAAATTTACAAGAAAAAAATCAAACAACCCCATCAAAAAGTGGGTGAAGGATATGAACAGATACTTATCAAAAGAAGACATTCATGCAGCCAACAGACACATGAAAAAATGCTGATCATCACTGGCCATCAGAGAAATGCAAATCAAAACCACAAGGAGATACCATCTCACACCAGTTAGAATGGCAATCATTAAAAAATCAGGAAACAACAGGTGCTGGAGAGGATGTAGAGAAATAGGAATAGTTTTATACTGTTGGTGGGACTGTAAACTAGTTCAACCATTGTGGAAGACAGTGTGGCGATTCCTCAAGGATCTAGAACTATAAATACCATTTGACCCAGCCATCCTATTACTGGGTATATACCCAAAGGATTATAAATCATGCTGCTATAAAGACACAGGCACACCTATGTTTAATGTGGCACTATTCACAATAGTAAAGACTTGGAACCAACCCAAATGCCCATCAGTGATAGACTGGATTAAGAAAATGTGGCCGGGCGTGGTGGCTCAAGCCTGTAATCCCAGCACTTTGGGAGGCCGAGACGGGCGGATCACGAGGTCAGGAGATCAAGACCATCCTGGCTAACACGGTAAAACCCCGTCTCTACTGAAAAATACAAAAAACTAGCCGGGGGAGGTGGCAGGCGCCTGTAGTCCCAGCTACTCGGGAGGCTGAGGCAGGAGAATGGCGTAAACCTGGGAGGCGGAGCTTGCAGTGAGCTGAGATCTGGCCACTGCACTCCAGCCCGGGCGACAGAGCGAGACTCCGTCTCAAAAAAAAAAAAAAGAAAAAAAAGAAAATGTGGCACATATACACCATGGAATACTATGCAGCCATAAAAAAAAACGATGAGTTCATGTCCTTTGCAGGGACATGGATGAAGCTGGAAACCACCATTCTCAGCAAACTATTACAAGGACAGAAAACCAAACACCACATGTTCTCACTCATAGGTGGAAATTGAACAATGAGAACACTCGGACACAGGAAGGGGAACATCACACACTGGGGCTTATCATGGGGTGGAGGGAGGGGGGAGGGATAGCATTAGGAGATATACCTAGTGTAAATGATGAGTTAATGGGTGCAGCACACCAACAAGGCACCTGTATACATATGTAACAAACCTGCACGTTGTGCACATGTACCCTAGAACTTAAAGTATAATAATAAAAATAAATAAATAAATAAAGCACTCTGCAGTTGGAGACACTGCCTTTATCAAACACCTTCTAGGTGATGGAACTGAAGGAGAAGATAGAGACAGCAGTCAACATGTTCAGCAGTATGGGTTTGCTGTATTCCACATTGTCTCCAATTTTAAACAGGCCCACACGCCTCAGGCTTTCTTTCTTCTTTTTTGAGATGGAGTGTCACTCTGTCACCCAGGCTGGAGTGCAGTGGTACAATCTTGGCTCACTGCAACCTCCACCTCATGGGTTCAAGCGATTCTCCTGCCTCAGCCTCCTGAGTAGCTGGGACTACAGGCACGTGCCAACATGCCCGGCTAAGTTTTTGTATTTTAGGAGAGACAGGGTTTCACCATGTTAGCCAGGATGGTCTCGATCTCATGACCTCGTGATTTGCCTGCCTCGGCTTCCCAAAGTGCTGGGATTACAGGCATGAGCCACTGCACCCAGTCAGAAATATTGAAACAATAGACACTAAGACATGTCTTGGTTAAATGATTGCATTTTAGAGCTTAAAAATGGGGATGGGGGAAAATTTCTAAGCAGAAAGTTCACATCCTTTATAAGGTAGAAAAATCAATCTGGCTTCAGGTATTGCATGCTCCCATTTCTTTTTAGCCATTCAACCATCCATCCACCTTTCTATCAATAGATACACATAGAGAGACACTGTATCTGGAATCAAGTTCATGTAGTATTCACTTTTATTTTTCATTTTTATTTTTAGAGATGGGGTCTCGATATGTTGCTCAGGCTGGAGTGTAGCATGCTATGGTCCCGTCGTGTGACCATAGCACACTGCAGCCAAGAACTACTGGACTCAAGAGATCCTCCCACCTCAGCCTCCCAAGCAGCTGGGACCACAGAGGCATACAACCATACCTGGCTGTTCATGGAGTATTAACAGTGGTAATTCTGAATACAAAAATCTTGGATGATTTGTATGATTTATTTCTTGTAACTTTGTTATGACTTGATTTCTTGACTTTTTCACATTGTTTCTGTTTTGTGTGTGTGTGTGTGTGTGTGTGTGTTTTTTTTTTTTTAATGAGATGGAGTCTCACTCTGTTCCCAGGCTGGAGTATAGTGGCACAATCTCGACTCACTGCAACCTCTGCTGCCTGGATTCAAGCGATTCTCCTGCCTCAGCCTCCCGAGTAGCTGGGATTACAGGCACCTGTCACTGTGCCTGGCTAATTTTTGTAGTTTTAGTAGAGATGGGGTTTCACCATATTGGCCAGGCTGGTCTTGAACTACTGACCTTGTGATCCACCTGCCTTGGCCTCCCGAAAGGCTGGGATTACAGGCGTCACCACTGCACCCAGCTTTATTGTTTCTGTTTTTAAAACTACTGTGGTGGAACATTTTGAGAGTCATTTAGTTATATTTGAGTGAGCTAATGTTCAGTTTACAGAAACTTTTTTGTTCATATTCTTCAAAAATAGAAAAAGAACAGGGACAGTCTAAAAATAGTTTAAAAGACATTGCGTTTTGTCAGGGAAATAACAGAAAAAGGAATAAAGTTTAGCAGAAAACTTGAATGCCATTTTAGTCTGGATTAGTCAGCTTCTGCTGTGGTAACAAACAATCCCAGCATCTCAGTGGCTTCAATAATGAACAATTATTTCTTGGTCTTAAGGGCTGAGAGTTAGCTTTGGATCGCCTGAGCCCTGCTGGTATCACGTGTCTTCCGTTTCCAAGAATCCAGATTGGAAGAGTAACCTTTGATGATACTGATGTGGATAAAATACTTGGCCCATAGGTAAGCCTGAGAAGGGACAGGCAGAAATAAGTAAGTTTGAATAAACACTGTAATATACCACATGGGCCTGGATTCCATACTGTCTTATCTTATTTATTCATTTATGTCACTAATATAGTTTGGATGTGTGTCACCACCCAAATCTCATATTGATATGTAATCCTCAGTGTTGGAGGTGGGGCCTGGTGGGAGGTGATTGGATCCGGGTGTGGGGGGGGGCACAGATTTCTCATGAATGGTTTAGCACCATCCCCCTTGGTACTATCCTCATGATCTGAGGATAGTGAATTCGTTTTTGTGAGATCTGCACATTCAAAACTGTGTAGCACCTCTTTCCTTGCCTAGGCTTGCCTTGCCTTGCCTTCCCCTTCCCCTTCCCTTCCCTTCCTTTCCTTTCCTTTTCCTTCCTTTCTTTTTCTTTTCTTTTCTTTCTTTCTTTCTTTTTTTTTTTTTTTTTGAGATGGAGTTTTCACTCTTGTTGCCCAGGCTGGAGTGCAGTGGCGCAATCTTGGCTCATTGCAACCTCCGCCTCCTGGGTTCAAGCGATTCTCCTGGCTCAGCCTCTCAAGTACCTGGGATTACAGGTATGTGCCACCATGCCCGGCTAATTTTGCATTTTTAGTAGAGATGGAGTTTAACTATGTTGGCCAGGCTGGTCTCAAACTCCTGATCTCGGGTGATCCACCTACCTCGGCCTCCCAATGTGCTGGGATTACAGAGGTGAGCCACCACACCCAGCCCCACCTTGTTTTCTTGCTCCCACTTTTGCTTGTAAGGTGCCTGCTCCCACTTTGCCTCAGCCCCACTTTGTTTTCTCGCTCCCGCTTTTACATGTAAGATGCCTGCTCCCACTTTGCCTTCTGCCATGAGTAAAAGCTCCCTGAGGCCTTTCCAGAAGCAGATGCAACCATGCTTTCTGTACAGCCTGTAAAACTGTGAGCCAATTAAATCCCTCTTCTTATAAATTGCCCAGTCTCAGATATTTATTTATAGCAATGTGAGAATGGACTAATACAGTCACGTATTAAACTTTGCCCTTTTATAAAACTATAAATTTCTTGAGGGCAGGCATTAGAGTTTTGGATTTCAGCTCTTTCATTTCCTGTCTGCTTAATGATGACAAAGGGCTAGAAATTCCTTGGCATAACATAGGGGAAGGGACTCAAAAGACAAAAATGCTGAATTTGCTCCATAAGAGATATTTTCATTGTGCCTAGAATCTTTTTTTTTTCTTTTCTTTTCTTTTTTCTTCGTCGTGATAGTGTCTTGCTCTGTAGCCCAGGCTGGAGTTCAGTGGCACAACCTTGGCTCACTGCAACCTTTGCCTCCCAGGTTAAAGCTATTGTCGTGCCTCAGCCTCATAAGTAGCTGGGAGTACAGGCGCCTGCCACCATGCGTGGCTAATTTTTGTGTGTGTGTATTTTTTTTTTTTTTTTTTTGAGATGAAGTCTCGCTCTGTTGCCCAGGCTGGCGTTCAGTGGCGCGATCTTGGCTCACTGCAACCTCCACCTCATGGGTTCAAGCGATTCTCCTGCCTCAGCCTCCTGAGTATATGGGACTACAGGTGCGTGCCACCATGCCTGGCTAATGTTTAGTATTTTTAGTAGAGACGGGGTTTCACCGTGTTAACCAGGCTGGTCTTGAAGTCCTGACCTCCGGTGATCCACCCGCCTCGGCCTCCCAAAGCGTTGGGATTACAGGTGTGAGCCACCACGCCCGGCCTGTGTGTGTATTTTTAGTAGAGATGCAGTTTCACCATTTTGGCCAGGTGGGTCTTGAACTCCTGACCTCAAGTGATCTGCCTGCCTCAGCCTCCCAAAGTGCTGGGATTAGAGGCATAAGCCACTGTGCCCAGCCTAGAATCTTTCAAAGGCAAGTTACTAATGATTCCAGCTAGTCCAGAATGCTGGTGACAGGATTTACCCATGTGGGCTTTCTGATCCCTGTGTGGATGGGGGGAAGTCCTGGGTGGACATTGTAGCTGGTAGTGATTTACTACCAGGAGGAAAGCTGGGGTGGTTATGATATTAGGCAGTGGTCTAAATGTGATTAAGAAATCTCAGGGAATGGCTCATTCACAGATAACTCTGGCTGTGGTTCATTATGGGGGTCCCAGGAATGTAAGCAGTGGGCATACCACTAAGATCTCATATCCCACCATTCCCCAAGCTCAGCAAGCAGACGTCTGAATCGAGCCACCATGCTAGATAGTCATGATCACAGCCAGGAGTTAGTTGGCACACCCAGAGTTCCTTGACTGAAGGAGAGGCAGTGTTCCTTGAGGAAAGATGCTGCAGAACTATCAAATATGGACAGTGCATAGCTGGGTGTGGTGATGTGTGCCGACAGTCCCAGCTACGTGGGAGGCAGAGATGGGAGGGTCACTTGGGTCCAGGAGTTGGAGGCTGTGAATAGCCACTGCACTTCAGCCTGGGCAACATAGCGAGACTCCCATCTACAAAAATATATATGAGCAGTGTGAAACTTCTTCCTGCCCTTCTCTGCAGCCACTCCCCTAGTGACTGTGCTCTCCAATTATTTTACAGCAAAACTGGCTCAAAGCAAACCTGGAGCCAGTTGGAATGCCATTCCCATCTGCCAGCATGGAGGCATATTGGGGGCTGAGTATATATGGGGTTCTGACCCTAGTTCATTTCATGGTAGGCCCACTGGGTCCCTAAGCTCATCCTGTGACTGTACCACAGTTACTGAAAGTATTGTTGGAATTCATAGCTGCAACAAACTCTAGAATCTTCACATTGGCTCCCTGACCTGTGAAGTAATTGCTACAGTAAGAAGGACCAAGAGGATGAACTGGAGTTCCCCTTCACTAACAAAATAGAAATATGAAACAATACTGTAATCCTAGTGGAACTGCAGGAATTTATGCCATTACCAAAGATCCAGAAGAAACAGACTTCGTGATTCTATTATATTCCCACCCTATATTTTGGCTTTAAATAGAATAGAGAATGATGATGGGTTATGGTAAAGTTAACAAGGTGGTGATTTCAATTTGGTTAATATCCTAGGGATGTCTCCTCACTGAAGCAAATTAATATATCTCCTGGCAGGCCTTCGGTTTGCCACTGCTCATCTGGTGAAAGCATTTTCCGCATTAGGAGAAGCAGGTTTGCCATTACCTGAGGGTATGCTGCACAACTTTACTGTCTTACTCAAGGTCAAGTTCATCATCTTCAGTGCTTTACCACTAAGAATGAGGAACTCAGCCAGGCACGGTGGCTCATGCCTGTAATCCCAGCACTTTGGGAGGCCGAGGTGGGAGGATCACTTGAGGTCAGAGGTTCAAGACCAGCATGGCCAATATGTTGAAACTCCGTCTCTACTAAAAATACAAAAATTAGTTGGGCATGGTGGTGGGTGCCTGTAATCCCAGCTCCTTGGGAGGCTGAGGCAGGAGAATCACTTGAACCCGGGAGTTGGAGTTTGCAGTGAGCGGAGATCGCGCCATTGCACTCCAGCCTGGGTGACAGAGCAAGGCTCCATCTCACAAACAAAAACAAAACAGAAAAGAATGAGGAACTCTTTGGTGAGCTGCTTTGGATTTTGGAGGCAATATGTATCACATTTAAATAGCTTGCTTTGACCCATTTACTGGGAAATCTGAAAAGCAACCTTTGGTCCCATGGTTAATATTTTATTACTGTGTCCACACTGAGCTTCTGTACCTGAATGGAGGACAAGACTCCCTGTGTGTGCGTGGAACTGGTGGTGGGCATGAGGAGGGCCTGAAAGACAATCTGACTGCCTCTGTATCTTGTGAGTCAGGCTCCTGGAAGGACAGTGGGGAGTCTTTCACAGCATGAAACCAGAAAATGTGAACAGACATCTCACATTTCCTCTTAAGCTGAATAAGAGCTTACCTCAACCTGATGTTAAGAGCTGCTCAAGGAGTTTGTTCATTCCTGTGAACCTAGGTGTAGCTAGGTGGCTCACTTATAAACCTAATAGCAGAAACCTGCTTACTTTTAAATAAACAGTGAAAGAGGGAAGCAGATAAGAAAGATGGCAGATGAAAATGAAAATTGATGTAATCAGTGGCAGTATATAAAGTTAACATTTCCCTCTTATTCACAAAAAGAGGTGGATACTCAGCTGGGTGTGACTGGCTCACACCTGTAATCCCAGCACTTTGGGAGGCCAAGGAGGGCAGATCACTTGAGCTCAGGAGTTCAAGATCAGCCTGGACAATATGGTGAAACCCAGTCTCTACTGAAAATACAAAAATTAGCCAGGCATGGTGGTGAGTGTCTGTAGTCCCAGCTACTTGGGGGACTGAGGTGGGAGGATTGCTTGAGCCCAGGAAGTCAAAGCTGTAGTAAGCCGAGATTGTGCCATGGTGCTCCACCCACGGTGACAGGGTGAGACCCTGTCTCAGAAAAAAAAAAAAAGAAAACAAACAAACAAAAAAGACTGGGCGTGGTGGCTCATGCCTGTAATCCCAGCACTTTGGGAGGCTGAGGTGGGCAGGTCACTTGAGGTCAGGAGTTCGAAACCAGCCTGGTCAACATGGTGAAACCCCGTCTGTACTAAAAGTATAAAAAAGTTAGCCTTGTGTGGTGGGGTGTGCCTGTAATCTCAACTACTTGGGAGGCTGAGGCAGGAAAATTGCTTGAACCTGGGAAGCGGAGGCTGCAGGGAGCCGAGATCGTGCCACTGTACTCCAGCCTGGGCGACAGAGCAAGACTCTGTCTCAACAACAACAAAAAAAGTGGATACTTAACGCAAAAGACTAAGTTGAAAAATAAAAGCACAAAGAAAAAACCAACAACAAAAATAATTTTATCACCTGGAGATAACCACCGCTAGCACACAGCCTATTCCAATCTAGTCTTTTTTCTGTGCTATAAATATGACATGTGTTTATGTATTTAAGCAGATAATAGTGTATATGTTTATTTATAGTCTGTTTTTGAAGTTTTTATCATGGTTATCATCTTTCTATATCAATACTTTTTTT